TTTTGGGCCCAATTACTATTACCTTTAAATAGTCTTTCTCTCCAGGCAGTGGTGGTGCACATCTTTAATCCCAGCACTCGGGAGGCAGAGGCAGGTGGATCTCTGTGAGTTTGAGGCCAGCCTGATCTACAAGAGCTAGTTCCAGGACAGCTAGGGCTGTTACAAAGAGAAAGCCTGTCTCGAAAACAAAAAACAAAACAAAACAAAAAAGAAAGAAAGAAAGAAAAACAGCCACATTTTTTATCTCTATCCCTCTGCCTATCTACTTATTTACTTCCCAGTGGGAACTAAGAATCTAAGAATACAGATAAGAAAACGTGGAATTGTGTCTGGCCTACAGCTCAGGACCATGTGGAATCAGTGAGGTTGGAGGTATAGAAGTGATGTTTTTCTTTTTTCCATTTTTAATTTTGTAAAAAATGATTTTATTTTTAATTATGTTCATGTATGGGGTGGAGGGCCATGTACTAATCTGAACTCCTGTCCTCCTGTCCTGGAATAAGAGGTGTGAACAACCCCACCCGGGTATAATAGGAATTCTGAAGTACAGAGTGACTTAGGGAACTTAATATAGGGGGAAAGGCTAACTGAAAAAAGGAAATTGCATTAGCAAAGATATGGACGTTGAAAAGATATGGCACCTTCCGGAAACCACAAGTGGTTCAGTATTAAGGGAGTCGGTACTGGCTGGGAACTGAGAGGGGAAGGGCTCACAGGCAGGAGCTGATCTTTAAGAGCCTTGCAACACACTTGAAACAATATCTTGTAGATGATAAATATCTGAGTTCTAATTGATTTGCCACTCTGCAGTCACAGTGATAAAGTAGTTTGAAGATGAAAACCCGACTGTGGCTTGGCCTTGCTTCAGTTTGACAGAGAATGGAGTCCCGTGATCCCCCCCCCCCCCCCCCCCGGGGCCTCTCAACTGCTCCAACCCCGTACTGTACTACATGCTTCTTTATCTTATACCCTCACTTCCTCTTAAGCTAAGCAGAGTCCAATTCCTCTGTCTTACTTGGTTCTGGGAGAAGCCCCCTGCTGTGTGCACCCACACAGCCTGAGCCACATTCTTAGAAGGGCGTCTGCTCCCCTTCCAGGGTCAAGCTCTAGGCACAAAAACCCTGCTAGTTGCAGAAAGATACTAAGTTAGTGTCCGTAGGGCACACACGCAGAGGTTTCCACCTGCCTGTCCTGGAGGGTAGCACTGTCCATTCAGAAACCAGCTGCCCCTCACACTCCCCTCCCTCCTTCCCTGCGCCATGCACCCCTACGCAGGTGCTTCTTTGTTCCTCTCCTCTTTTACTGTTTGGCAGCAGAGCCCACCATAAACATGCTCGCAAACGTTTGGCTAGACGAAAGGACAGAGGCGTTCACGCTTAGGAGGACCCAGGATTTTGTTTTGCTTATTTGTTTGGGGGAGGGTCTTATGCTGCCCGATTGGCTTTGTACATTCCATGTGGCCGGGGATGTTTTGCCTGCATGTATGTATGTCTGTGTGGTGGTGTTGGACCCTCTGGGACTGGAATTACAGATGGTTGTGATCTGCCATGTGGATGCCAGGAATGAGCCAGTGCTCTTAACCACTGAGCCATCTCCAGCCCCTTATTATCGTGTATAGGTCTTTTGCCTGCATGCATGTATGTGTGATTTGTGCATGCTTTGTGCCCAGATCCGTTCTTGCAACTGGAGCCAGAGAACTGTGAACCACTATGTGAATGCTGGGAACTGAACCCAGGTCCTCTGAACAAAAAGTGCTCTTAACCTTTCAGTCATCTCTTCAGCCTCTATTTCTATTAATTTTTAATTTGTGTGTGTGTGTGTGTGTGTGTGTGTGTATGTGCCTGAGAGTGAGTGGGTGGATATGTATGTGTATTTAAATTCATGTGTGAGTCAGTGGGTGTGAATGGTGTGTGTGTGTGTGAGTGGGTATGTGTGTGAGTGTGTGAGTGGTTGTGTGTATGTGAGTGGGTGGACATGTGTGTGTATGAGTGTATTAATACATGTATGTGAGTGACTGGGTATGAATGGGTGTGTATGTGTGTGAGTGGTTGTGTGTATGTGTGTGAGTGTGTGTGAGTATAGATGCTTTCAGGACTAGAGGCATTGGATCTTTTCAGAGCTGGAATTACGGGTGGTTGTGAGCTGTCTGAATTCAATAGTGGGAACTGAACTCAGGTTCTCACCAGGAGTAGTGTGCATCCTTAACTGCTGAGCCATTTCTCTAGGCCTATTTATCTATATTAGTTTCTCTGTGTAGCCCTGGCAATCCAGGAGCTTGCTCTGTAGATCAGGCTGGCCTTAAACTTACAGATGCCTGCCTGTCTCTGCCTCTGAGTGCTGGGGTTAAAGCTGTGTGCTGTTACCACACTTGGCCCTTTTTGTTTGTTTTTTGAGACAGGGTCTTTCTGATGTTGTTTTGTCTTGTATGTTTTTCAAGACAGGGTTTCAGTGTGTATCCCTGACTGTTGGCTGTCCTGGAACTCACCCTGTAGACCAGGCTGTCCAAGAACTCAGAGATCTGCCTGCCTCTGCCTCCCAAGTTCCAGGATTAAAAGTGTGTGTTATTACTGCCTGACTTTATTTTTGGATTTCTTTGTCTTTTTTCTTTTCTTTTGTTGTTGTTTTGTTTTGTTTTTTGAAACAGGGTTTCTCTGCTTTGGAGCAGCCTGCCCTGGCACTCACTCTGTACACCAGGCTGGCCTTAAACTCACAGTTATCTGTCTGCCTCTGCATTCCGAATGCGGGAGTAAGGGCATGTGCTACTACCTCCCGGCTCTTTTCATATATGCCCCTTTGTACCCGAAGGGGGCATCAGATCTTTGTGAGTCATCATGTGTTACCTGGAATTGAACTCAGGACCTCTGAAAAGCAGCCATTGCTCTTAACCTCTGGGTCATCTATCCAGTTCTATTTTTGGATTTCTTATTAACACTTTTTCTTTAAAGTTTTTTGAGTCAGGGTTTTGCCGTGTAGCTCAGGCTAGACTCAAAGTCCCTTTAAATTATTTTTTATTTTATTTGTACAAGTGGTTTGCCTACAAGCATGTATTTGTCCTACGGGTGTGCCTTGTGCCAGAAAATGGTCTTGGGTTCCCTAGAACTGGAGTTATAGATGGTTGCTAGTGCCATATAGGTGCTGGGAAGCAAGCCCGGGCCTTCTGCAAATGTTCTCAAACACTGGGCTGTGTCTCCAGCTCTGTGGACTCAGGGTCCTCCTGCCTCAGACCCCCAGTGCAGTGATAACAGGTGGCAGAGTACCATGTGTGGCTTCTCATCCTCTGTCTCTAGGAACAAAGTGAAGGTATTAGCCCTCTCAGGAGGCGTTAAGACTTCCGTACACAGGTGGTAAGCCCTAACCTCCTTTCTGATCACTACTCACCAGATGATGGCTCCTCTTCTGTAACTGGTGGTTCCGATACGCAGTTCAGGGGCACCTAGGGCAGAGTCCTTCTCTTTCTAGGTAACTCCATCTAGATGGCAAACTGCTGGAAGCCGTGGCTTCGTCCGCCTTGCCTCTTACTCTGGAAGGCGCTTTCAGTGCGAATGATGCTCAGCAAACGCGCTTTCCCTGTTTCAGTGAACGCATCTCCTCTATGGTACCAGAGGCTTGGGTGTTCTCCACGATGCTCGGTTGGCTTCCAGACAACAGGTTAACATAGGATGTGTTCTCTGCTGTGCTGTAATTGGAACTGAGAGTTACTTCTCCAGGCTTCATGTACTAACTCCCCCATCCTCAGCAGCCCTGAATAGGAATCCATGTACTCGGCCTTGCGCGACTTTCTCGGCCCTCCATTCCTCTTGCCTGCTATGCTCTTAGCCTGGCTCCTGTGCTGTGGAACTCCTACTCATCCTCTAAGACCGCCGTTTCCCATCACCTTCTTATACAGTGGGCAGAGGAACAGAGTGAGCCTTTCTTCATCTTTTTGGCTTCCTCAGCGTTTCCCCAAACAGCTGTAACAGTACTAAGTCATGTTTTATTTAAATGCTTAGAAAATTAGTATTATTGTTGTTGTTTTTCAAGACAAGCTCCTCGGTGTAACAGGTCTGGCTGTCCTGGAACTTGCTTTGTAGACAAGGCTGGTCTCGAACTCTCAGAGATCCGCCTGTCTCTGCCTTCTGAGTGCTGGGATTAAAGGCGTGGGCCACCACGCTGGGCTATTTGTATTATTTTTAATTATATATAAATGTTATAAGTGTGTGTGTGTGTGTGTGTGCGCGCGCGTGTGCGCGCGCGGGTATGAAGGTGTGTACAGGTGAATACTGGTGTCAGCAGAGGTCAGAGGCACTAAGTAACCTACAGCCAGAGTTACAGACAGTGTTAGCCATCTGATGTGGGTGCTGGGTACTAAACTCAGGTCCTTTGGAAGAGCAGCAAGTGATTTTAACCTCTGAGATGTCTCTCCAGCCCAAGACATTGCTTGTTTACTCTTCTGCTGCCACTCACTGGGCTGAATCGCCTGAAAGCCACGAGCTCTGTCGTTTTATCTTCTTTACCCAGCACAGTGCTCGCCTACACTAGGTGTGTGGTTCAAAGAACAGATGAACCAAACAATTCATCGGACACTGCAGGTTGTACGAACCAGATTCCCAGAAAATTCTAGGCCTGGTCCTCTGCTTGGATTGAGCCATCCTGAGACCTCTCTTCCCTTCTCCCTCTTCGCCTTGGTTTAGTAGAACGGGAAAGGGAAGTGATCAGAGTGTGGGAAGTGTTATTCCTCCAGGGCACAGCTATCACTCACCCGCCCCGGCACCCAGAGGGTTACAGCGACCCGGGGGCGGAGCCAAGCCCGTGCCACCTGCTGAGGGGCGGGCTGGCGCATGCGCGCAGGCGCCCGCGGGGGCTACCTGCCGGGCCCGAGCGGAGGCGGAGCGGAGGAGGAGCGCTTGCGCTCTGGGCCTTTCCGCCGGGGGAAGTCTCGCGGGGGCGGGGCGCTGCGGGGCGGGGCCGCGTGGGGAAGTTCTCGCGGGACCCAGCCTAGGAGCGGAAGCTAGGCTGCTGCTGCTTCAGCGATCGGGCGGCGGCGGCGGCGGTAGTGCGAGCGAGGCTGACGCGGGGACGGTGGCCGGGGCAGCGGGAGCCGCCATCGGGGAGCAGCAGCGGGGTTGGCGGCCGCGGGCGGCAGCGCAGGGCGGGCCGGGCTGGGCAACGGAGCGGACGGCTGCGCCACGGTGAGTGCCAGACAGCGGGCGGGCGGAGAGCGGGAGCTCCGTGGTCCCGGCGGGCGCCGCGGCGGGTTGGTTGTCCGGGCCCGGTCTGCTCGGGGCTGCCGACGAGGGCCGCTCGCGGGCCGGGGATGGCTCGGACCCGAGCGCAGTGGCTGCGCCGCCGTCTCCTCGTTTCCCCTTTTGGGGCGCTTCCTTCCTGGTGCCGGTCTTCCTCCCGCTTGGGGCAGACACCCGGTTAGGTCTCGTGCCGCGGCCGTCCGCCTTGGCGCAGGGCAGCCCGCAGCTGGGAGCAGCCGAGAGGCGCAGGGTGCCTGCTGCTCTGAGTCAGGCTGACTGAGCCCGGGAGGCGGGGGATTCGGTGCCGGCTGCTAACGTGGTGATTGATGCTCCTTTGACCTGCGGAGCAACCACGTCACCATCTCTTGGCATCTTGCGGCCGGATTGTGTGCGGGAATCCACCGTGGATGAGAACGATTGCTACCCGCACCCGTCGACGGGTCTTTGTCAGACCTTCGGGCGCGTCTTTTTTAGAACTACTTGAAAAATACTTGTTGGGGGGTGGGGTGGGGAAGCAGCATCGGCAGCTGATGGGATTGCCGGGAGGAAGGATTTTAGCGAGAGAGCCCCGCTGGTTCGTGCCCGTTTGCAGCGCTCCGTGTGAGCTAAGAGTTTGTTTAGAAAGTGGCTTTTAGGCTGTCTTCAGATGCAGAAGCAGTGCAGTTTGCAGAGGAGCCGAAGCACACTCAAGGTCCATCTTCTGGTTCTGACACTCAGAAGAGGCTAGAGAAACGGGCTTTATTTCGACTTCCGCACCCCTCACTTTGTTCTCCAGTTTTTGTCTTCTCAGTCTCCTTTCCACTCCATTTGTAACGCTAGTCATTGGCCCCTCCACCCCCCCTTAAAAATAATCTACTTCCCCTTCTTGCTGTTCCTCCGCTGTAATTTTCGAAGTTTCTGCCCCCTTTGGCACTGTTAATTTTCTCTGTCGTGGGAAGATACCTTTCCCCCTGTTTTCATTCCTTTTAAATGTCCACTGTATTCTCGGCCAGAAGGGCTGCTAGCGCGTCATGGGGGGTGGAGTACTTAAGTTCTCTCCAGGGAACTAGGAGACTCAAAGGGCTTAATTCATTCCAAAGTAGTCCATAGAGCCACCAGATCACAAGTGGATTTTGCCTGTTTGCTTGTATCATTTGTAGATGATGGTTTTGTGCCAGGTATTTTCTCTGTCTCTCCTTCCTGTGTCTTTTCACTGTTAAGGAAGATTGAGAAATTCGGGGGCTAAAAGACTTCTTTTTGAGGTTTTAGTATGCCTGACAGCTAATTGTCAAATGCAAATCAGCTTTGGAATTTATGAATTAAGATAGCTTGAAAATTATAAGGGAACAAAGCTTTAGAAATTTGTGAATTAAAGTCTGCCCATTTTAACTACTGATTTAGACCTTACCAGGCTTTTTAAAATGACTTATTTTTGTGTGGATAAATGTATTTGCCTGCATGTATGTATGTGCACCATGTGCATTGCCTGGTGCTCTCAGAGGCCAAAAGAGGACAAATACCCTGGAAATGGAGTTACAGAGGGTTGTGAGCTGCAGAATGGGTACTGGGAATTGAACCCTGGTCCTCTGAAGAACAGCTAGTGCTCTTAGCGGCTTGAGCTGTTATGTGTTTAGCACATCTCTCCAGGTCAGTTGATGGGTTTTAAGTAGTGTTTATCGGTCGTACTGGAGTTGGTCTTCAGTGATTGATTTCCGTTATGTCACGTGCGCAGCAGCGTTACCAAGGGAGTGTTGCACTTAGGGGTGACAACGGAACAGAGCCACCGTGAACCCACAGAAGTTAGGGCATAGGAGCAGCGTTACCAGTGATTGTTGAGATTTGTTGTTTTTGCGTTTGCCAAAGTTAGTTTTCCCCAGAGCTGTGCCAAATTGAATATGTATCATCTCTATTTTGTTCAGGCATAGTGCATTTTCTGGAATGCATATTTTAAAACTTGCTTAAGATTGGATTCCAATCAGCTTTTAGCAGTGATTCTTAAAATTTGTATTTATAAACATTACCTGACAATAAATTAACTAGAATTTTTTTTTTTTTTTTTGAGACGAGGTCTTGATTTATATATAGTCCAGGCTAGCCTCAAACCTTTTATTTACTTGTTTAGTTACTTACTTTAAGGCAGGGACTTTCTGTGTAGACCAGGCTGACCTAAAACTCACAGAGATCCTCCTGCCTCTGCTTCTCAAGTGCTGGGATTAAAGGTGGGCACCATTATGCAAGTGTGGATAGCCCTGCTTCCAACTTTGAATCATCTTGCTTCAGCCTTCTCCTAGGGCTAGAATTTTAGGCTTATGCTACCATACTTGGTAGAAGTTTTTTGTTTGTTTGTTTGTTTTTAATTAGGCTATGGTAGAACTCTGGTAGTGTAGTGTAATTTGAATGTTTCCTCTGACACATTTTAGTTGGAATAACTCAAAATAGCTGCAGGAAGGAAGACCCTGAAACTGACCAGATTCACCGGGCCTCTCCTAAGCAATGAAAACTGAGTCCCTTTTGAAGTAAAGAGAGTCAATTTGCAGAAAAGACTCTTTAGACCAGACCAGCTGCCTGGAGGAAGCAGAAATCAGCCTAGCTCCCAGAGGAGGTTTAGACCAGAGTCTCTTGGAAAGGACACTCCAGCCTGTAACTGCCCGCGGGCTGTGTAGTATGCTCCAGGTTTCCTAGACTTTGTGAGCTGTCACTCATGCGGGAGTGGGATACGGTGATGCAGCTGTCTTTGAGTCATTTCTGCTCCTGTGAGTAACCCTTCACCCATATTCCTGTAACAAACTCCAGTAAAACTCATTGGTTCACCAAGCTGGACTTGGATGGCTTCCATACTTTGGTCTTTTGGGGGCTTTCTATCTGGGGCGAGTAGACATGTGCTGTGTCCTCCCCAGGAAAAGTTTTGTCACACGGCAAGCAGGGACCCTGCAATAAATTAGTTCCTGAAAGGGCTGATTTAAAACAATTTTAGGTTTGTGTAGAAAACTTGGGTTAGGAGGACCTCGTGCTCTGTGTTGGAGCTACTTCCCCTAGTAGTTCAGCACTTGCTCTGTTTCATTCTGGTGCTGGGGATTGATCCTGGGACCTTGCAAATGGCAGAGAGACACCATAACACCGAGCTGTGCCTCAAACCCATGACTAATTCTTTCGTTTTTTTATTTTTTATTTTTTATTTCATCCACCGCAAATAGGCTAGCCTCAAGCACATTATGTAGCTGAGGGTGACCTTGAACTTCTGATCCTCTTGCTTCTACTTTCTGAAGTGTTGGTATTACAGACATGAGCCACCACACCCCATTTAAACAGGCTGGGGATCAAACTTAGAGCTCGTACATGCTAGGCAAGCACTCTACCAACCAGGACACATTCCCAGGCTCCGTAGTTAGTTCTTACATACGCAGTGTTAAGACTAAAGTGCATGCTAAGGAGTACTTCACCTGAGTGTCTCAGACACCCTCCCTTTTCGTTTTTGAAACAGGGCCTCATGTAGCCCAGCCTGTCCTCAAACTTGCTGTGTAGCTTACACCAGACTGGACTCTTGTCCCAAGTGCTGAGATTATAGGCATGTGCCAGGGTGGCTTGCCCCAGGCCCTGAGTGTGATAGACAGGGCTTTACTGATGGGCATTGTCAGCAGTCCCAGGCTCACTGAAGCTTCATTAATGGGGCTGGTTCATATGTGTGGGTACTAGTTCAGGCCTGCCATCACATGTAGACTCAGAGTTGAAAGGGGATCCATCATACTATTTCTTTTAAGATTCATTTTTTTTATATGTATGCAGTGCCAGAAGAGGGCACCAGATCACATCATGGATGGTTGTAAGCCACTATGTTGTTGCTGGGAATTAAACTCAGGTCCCCTGGAAGGACAGCCAGTGTTCTTTAACATCTGAGCCACCTCTCCAGCCCCCCAGCATACTATTCTTAATTATCAAAGTTTTTCTATTAAGTAGGTACTGCTGTTAGCCTTACTTTCCAGTTGAGGGCACTAGGATTTAGAAAATAGAAGTTTCTCCTCTAGTGTCATTTTATTTGCAGATGCTAAAGGAAGGGGTGGTTGCACCCAGGCCTTGTACCCGAGCTTGTGTAAGGCCTTCGGTTTGCGTTCTCAGTGCAGAGAAACAGTGCTTATTAGAAGAACAGTGAGGTACTCAGCGAGGGTGCTGCATAGAAACAGCTGTTGTCAAACAGTTTCAGACATATATTCATGTGTTATATTGCTTTATATAAATTGGAGGAAGTATTACTGGGGGAGGTTTGATATGGCCTTGATATGTTTAGCCCTGGCTGGCTTGGTGTGTAGTGTAGCTCAGGTGGCTTTAGATTTTTAGCAGTCCTCCTGCCTCAGCCCCTGAGTGCCCCTCTATGCCTGTATTTTGCAGTTTTTAAAACTTGAAACTATGTCTTGCTACCTCTGTAGAAGATCTCACTTGATAACTAGAAAATACTGACTCATGGTGTGCACTTTGCTCCATACATGTGTCACTTTTAGTAATAAAAATCTGGGAAGTAGACATTAATGGTTTACATGTTAGTTGCAATGTCTAGCAGATAGTAATTCCTCAGAATAAAGAGACAAAAATATTGCAGATTGGATAGTGCATATCTTCAAAAGCCCATCAGTAAGCACACAGAAGAAGCCTTTTTAAAGATTTATTTTTATTCATGTGAGTGAGTGTGTGTATGTATGTGTTTGCCAAGTGTGTGCAAAAGGCTAGAAAAGGTGACACCTTCCCTTGGAACTGGAGTTACATGTAGGTCTGGGAATTGAACCTGGGTCCTCTGGAAGAACAGCAAGTACTCTTAAGCATAGAGCCATCTTTCCAGTCCTGTAAAGATTTATTTTTATTCATGTGAGTGTGTGTATGTATGTGTTTGCCAAGTGTGTGCAAAAGGCTAGAAAAGGTGACACCTTCCCTTGGAACTGGAGTTACATGTAGGTCTGGGAATTGAACCTGGGTCCTCTGGAAGAACAGCAAGTACTCTTAAGCATAGAGCCATCTTTCCAGTCCTGTTCTACAGTTTTTAAAAATTTATTGTGTATGTGTGTTTGTGTGCACACGTGTCTGTGAGTGACACAGTATGGCTATCAGAAAATGACTTGAAAGAGTTGACTCTCTTTTCACAGCTTAGGATTCCAGGGATGAAACTCGGGTCCTCAGGTTGGGCAACAATAGGCTGAGCCGTCTTGCTGGCCCTGTTTGCTTGCTGGTTTAAATAGGGTCTTGCTCTTAGTTGGCCTGCAGCTCACTTTGCAGAACCATGCTGGCCTCTAACTTGCTGTGATCCTCCTGCCTCAGCTTTTCCAAAGTGCTAGGGTTGTATTGTTGCCTTTGAAAAGCAGCAATCAGTAGAGCTCAGACTGCCATTGTCAGGATACCACCCACCATGTAGCAGTGGGACATGCACTTTAAGTCAGTCAGAATTTGTGACATCTGCAGCACAACTGGACAGCAGTAGAAAAAGTTCAAGGTGAGGCTAGGGATAAGGCCGAGCCCATAGTGTGTTTGCATGCCTGTGATCCCAGCACTTAGTAGGTGGAGACAGAAACATGGGTTCAGGTCATCCACTGCTGCCTACGCAGAGTTGGAAGCCAGCCTGGCCTACAGGAGATGCTGTCTCTAAACACAAACAAGTGGTGAGGTAGTCCTCAGTCCCTGCTCTCCCACACCTGCATTCAGCTCCTGCAGCAGGTTCCTGAGTGGAGGTTTTTAGCACGGTGGTTTATACATACCTGTAGTCCTAGCCTGGATCATGCCTGTAATCCTAGCACCTGAGAGGTAAGGCCAGGGGACCACCCCGAGTTCAGGACGAGCACAAGCCACAGTAAGTCACACATGTCTAACATTTGTGAAAGTTGAAACTATTCAAGTAATCACTTACTAGGCAATGAAACCAGAGGCCATTGAGACGGCTCAGCAGGTAAATGTGCTTGCTACCAAGCCTGGTGACCCGAGTTCTGTCCCTGGAACCTACTTGGTGAAAGGAGAGAAGTAACTCCCCAAATTCTCAACATGTCAGTGCACATGCCTGTACACACACAGAAATAGATAAATGTGAGAAAATCTAATCAGTATGCCCATGGCTGTGGCAAATAAAACAAGCATTTGACTTAGAAAACCTGATGAGAATTAGATTAGGTTATCCATAACAAAGGAATCCAGTCTTCCATTAAAGACAGCAACAGAACTATGCACTGTGTTATACACAACACTATTAAAAGGAAGAAATCTGCAGACAAACACGTGTACAATGGTTTACACTTGCGTATGCACGCGCACACTCACACACACACACTCACTGAGCCTGGTGATTGAGCGCTAAGTATGGGCTTTCCTGCTGACCTGTCTATCTGTCCAGCTCCTGCCAGAGCCGATGATGCTGTTGTCTCCAAGAAAATGAAGTGGCAGGCACAGCAGCAGTCCCTAATGAAGCGCCTCTAAATGGTTAGCATGCGCCTCCAGAGCCCATCACGTGCAGTAAAATCTAAGGAAGTACAGTTTTAATTGTTGATGTGATAGGGGAATTGTATCTGAAAATGAGCTTAAAGGATGTAATAGAATTCTATTCTCTCTCTAATTCTCCCTCCCTCTCTCTCCATACTATTAGGCCAGCGTAGCTTAATATTGAGTCTTCATGATCTGGTGAGGCAGGAGAAATGCTGCTCATTTAAGTAATGACCTATCAATCGCACCTGCAATACTGAACAGGACCCAGCTTTCTGACTAGGAAAATGGGATAATAGCTGCCTTCTAAGACAAACTGAGCGGTAAATCAGATTTTGTGTGTGTGTGTGTGTGTGTGTGTGTGCGCGCGCGCGCGCGTGCGCATGCTTTGGATAGAGCCTGACAAATAAGTCACTGGAAATTAAAAACAAAACATAAATGCAAAATCAAAGCAACGAGGTGCCGGGGCTGGAGAGAAGGCTTGGAGGTCAAGAGCATTTATTCATTCCTCTTCCATGTTTGGATCCCAGCACTCGTGTGGGGCAGCTCACAAGCCGCCTTTAATTTCAGCTCCAGTGTGTCCAGCGCCCTTTTCTGGTCTCCTTGGGCACGTGGTACACACGCAGTCAAACCCTCTTACTTAAAAATTGTAGCTATGGTTTATTCTATCAAAAAAATAACTACAGAGGATGTATTAGGAATTTCAGGACCCTAGGACTACCCTTTGTGTTTTTAATACTTTTGTATCTTCTAGGACTTGTCTTTTCTCTTGAGAGTCAGCACAGTATAGAGTAGCCAAGTGTGGTCATGAGGGACAAGGAGCAGTGTGTCCCTCACCGTGCTGGCCTTCAGACTTTCCTGGGACTCCCCCTGAGACTCTCCGCTGCTAGCTCACAGCTCTCAGGTCACCCGTGAATACCCCCAGCCCATCTGCTGCTTAGCCCATTTGCAGCTGTATGCTTGATTAGTGCTCCAAATGTTAATTGTAGGACAAAGGAATAATAATCACCCGTGCCCCTCAAAGTGAGCTGCTAGGTAGTAATTATCCAGAAAGGTGCCACTATGAATAATCTGCCTCCGTTCTGCCAGGGCTCTTGTTTGCCTTTGTTTAGCTTATATGGGAACCATGACTGCAAACCAGAATGGGATTCTATTTTCCCTTAGGTTTGCAGAGATCAAGGTTTTGCACCTGTTCGTGACCACACTGTCTCAGGTCACTGGATACACCATGGAGAAGTTCTGACCTGTGAGAATGCCACTTACTCGTGTGGGCCTCTCCTGAGTGAGGGAAGCCACTGTGGGAACTGGAGGAGGCTGGCACCAGCCTGTACTTAACCTGTCCCCAGAGACAAGAGGAGGGTCACCTCAAATTCTTGACCACCCGGAGTGTGAGAGTGAGTGTGTGTGTGTGTGTGTGTGTGTGTGTGTGTGTGTGTGTGTGTGTGTGTGGAGAGTGAGTGAGTGAGTCCCAGGTCAGCCGTAACTCCGGTGTGAAACTTCCACTGCCCCCAGATGTTAACTTCATAGCTCAGATTTGCTGAAAGGGACTTTCTGTTATAGATTAGAAAGAACTTCAGTCCCACTCTTGTGCTGTTTAAAAGTCAGGTAGAGGCTATTCCTAATGTTAAACCCGGATCGCCTATTTCAAGGACTGGAGTCCGGGCTATCTGGTGCAAGAGCAGATTCCCCCTCCCTAACAAAACCGCTGAGCCCGAGTCCTCTGAAGACCAAGGGACGGGTTGGGGGCAGGGGCGAGGCTGGTGCTCCTGTCCTTATGTCGGTGGGCTATAAAGCATTCTAGGCTCGCTCTCTCACCTCTTCTTGAGGACAGGTCAAGGTTTAGTTTCAATAAAGAGTAGAGCCGCTCAAGACCCAAGTCCTGCATGGCTTTTGACGGGGAGTGGGAGCGCCGTGGTCCTCAGGACCCCAGCCAGTCGGTGGCGAGGAACGGGAGGGGCGTGGGTGGGCGTGTAACCACCTCCAGAGCCTTGCTTTGGGACTGCCTTGGGTGCGGGAGAAGGCATGTGAAGGGGTGTTAATGGGAAAGGCTGAGATTGACACCGGCTCCTGAGCTTGCACCCTGCGGGAAGGAAGAGGAAGTGTATTCGGGAATAGCTTAAGCAGCTGCCGCTATTGGCCGCTGGGCCTGTCAGTCGCCTGGGGCTGAGGCTGAAAAGAGGAAGAAGGAGAGCTGTTGCCTGAAAGGGAGGAGGAGGGGGCTGAGCCCAGCGGAGCCAGGGGGCGTGGGGGCTGGGAGTGCAGGCCAATTGGCAGGGCGGGGCAGCCTTCGATCTGGCCACTTCTCTTAATCATCGCTCTTCTGATTCAGGGTGGCATTGTGTGTCCCAGTGTGCAAGAATAGCCCCAGAATCGGAAAGGCTGAACCCAGAGCTCTCCAGCAGGGAAGATTCCCTTCCCCCTGCTTCAGGTTGCTGAGCACTGAGCGTCGCTCAGAATGGAAGCCATCGCCAAATATGACTTCAAAGCTACTGCTGACGATGAGCTGAGCTTCAAAAGGGGGGACATCCTTAAGGTGAGTGTTGATGTGGTCGCCTCTCGTGCCTGGCTGCCTCCCCTCACCCCGGTGACACACAAAGAAGCCGAGCTTGCCTCCTTCCTCGGTGCACACGTCTAACATTTGTCACCAGGTTTGATCGGACAGCCGGCAGTAGATGCTGAGTGAATTATTAAATGTGGTATTAGAGAGTTGGTGTGATGTGTGTTCCTTAACTGCCTTTGTGTGATGTCTGTCTGTCTGCTTATATTGATACAGGGAAGTCAAAGGGATGAGTGATGGTTTTACCTTGTGAAGTTGTAATTTAAAAAAAAAATCCCACAAGGAATTTTTTAAAATCCTAGACTCGAATTATTTATGTAAAAACATTCCTTTAACCTTACTATTCATAGACAGGAGACTCTGCGTTTTGTGATGGGATCCTACTAGAGTTGAAACTGCTTAGGGAAATGTTGGGAGTATATGCCCAAAGTCACTGAAGAGTTGATTGCCGTTTATTTCTGAAAAACAAAACAAAAGACCCAATGGAGTTGTACATAATAGCGTTTAGCTAGCCTTTATACAAATCAGATTTTGGTTTTACTTAGAGGACCTTGATCAATCAGTGCACATTAAAATCTAATTGCATAAAAAAGGGATACAGATTAGAAGTGAGCTTTTTCAGTTTGCAGTTTTGAACTGTGCTGTGACATGGACATTGGCTCCCCGCCTGGCACATGGTAATTGACAGGGTGGGCTGGAGCAGTTTGCCCTATTGGAGAACACTTTTCTTTACAGGGGGAGGGGAGCGCTGTGTGAGATCGATCGGTGGACTTTAAGGAGGGAGAGCTGGGGCTTAATGTTTGGAGTGCTAGCAGCGCCTCAAATTTTCATATTCTTTCCCAGAGCTCTAGTCTGCATTGTTGGGATTTGCCAGCTTTTTTTTTTTTTTTTTTTTTTTTTCTGTCTGAGTGTTATTGTTTGATCTTACAGAGGAAGAAAGGGAAACTGTGATTTATAGAGAGAACTGTGAAGACTCATTATGTGAACCTGTCAACAGTCAACGTCTGCCCTCAGTGCTCAGAGTGAGGGAGTGTTACTGTGTTAACAAAATTTTTCCTGAGGAGAGGAAACACACAGGTCTACTCAGCCCAGACAGGGTCCCACAGCAGACCAAAGTATGGGTGCCACCAAAGTCCAGCTTGGTGAGGCAGTAAGTTTGATTGGAGCAGAGATGACTCAGAGACAGCTGCATCACTCAGTCCCACCCCAGCCTGTCATAGCTCATGAAATTGGGGAAGCCTGGAGCACAGTGGACAGGCTGCAGGCAGCTCAGTACTGGTCTGCACCTCCTACAGGCAGCTTGCCTGGCTTCCGCTTCTTCAGGCAGCCTTTCTCCCCTGTGCCTTTTTTTTTTTTTTTTTCCCCAGCACAACTTCCTGAGAAGGAGCTACTTAGCTTTGATTGCTTACTCTGGGAGGGAGGGGCCTGGTGAATCTCGTCAGTTTCAGGGACTTCCTGCAGCTATTTCGAGTTGTTTATCTTCCTGTTTCAAGAGCTTCCCTGTAGGATGGAAGGTTTCAATCTCAGAGGAAAGAGTTACACATTTTCCACATCAAGGTGCTGGGCTCTGAAACTGTTGTCCAGATTTCGGGGAGAGCAGCTCAGAAGTTCCCACAGAATGGTTAGAAATGCCAGTTGAATAGCATCAGGTAGTGCTGAAAGGCTGCTCGGGAAGTTGAAACCTTTGTTTCCCAATGTGAGAGATGGACAGAAGCAGCCCCAGCTTTAGAGCATTTGCTGGTTTCTTAGAGCTAGAATTCGGAGAGGGATCTCCTGCTACTGAATATCTCTGTGCCATTGGTACAGAGGTCACAAAAGTGCTGTTGTGGTTCCTGTGTACAGCAGATAACCCATTTGTCTATCTCACAATGAGGCTGGTTACTTGGGCACTCAACATTTGTAGCCTATACAAAACCCTTAACCAGGTTTGTTTGTTTTACTTTGTTTGGTTATTTGGAGACTCTCTCTCTCTCTCTCTCTCTCTCTCTCTCTCTCTCTCTCTCTCTCTCTCTCTCTCTCTCTAAAGCCCAGACTTGCTTGGAACTCGCTATATAGTCCAAGGTAATTGGTGAGTCCCACCTGTAATCTTCCTGACACTGTGTGTGTGTGTGTGTGTGTGTGTGTGTGTGTGTGTTTTAAATGTAAGACTACAGTCAGTTAACCTAGTAACTTGGACTTGCGGGCTGGGCAGTTAATACTCTTCTTGTGGGTACATCCCACCGCCTGTTAACCCACATCAGATAAAGCAAAAGCAGGGACAAGCGGCGCCACTCCCTGACTGCTGTCCTCTAAGTTTGTCCTATCCGTAGTCCATAAATGTTTGACAAGTTGTTGGTGTCCTCCTGGGGAGTTTTATGATGAGGAAGGTGAATCACAGTGTCCCCGCTTTAACACTGTGGGGAGAGAAAGGCATGCGCTTGATTCTTTCCACTCTGGCAGATAGATAACTGGGATGTGACATCATAATGCCATTATTGCTTTTGAACAGTGGCCATTAGCTGTTTGTTAGTAATCTTGTGGCTTTACTCCAAAAAAATGAGAGTGTGAGTATGTGTGTTGATACAGTGGTTGCCCTTTGTCTCATAGCTCTGAAACAGCTTTATGAAGAGGAGGGGCGTGTTCTGTGTTAAGGACTGCTGGTAAAACAAACAGTTTTCTTCGTCCTTCGGGGAGTAAGCCCATCATCACTTGCTTTGCTAGTCATTTGATAGCTCTGGGCTCCTGAAAGGGGCTAGGTTGGCCCGGAACACTTGAACTTTGGCTGAAACGGACCTTTTTCTCCTCTTGTATTTTTTGTTTCTTTACTTGTTCTGTTTTGAGGTGATATCTGTGTTGCCCATACTGGTTTCAAATTTACCTGCTTTTGTTACTTGTCCTTACTTATCTAAGCTTGCGTTTTTGCTTGGAGAACATGGGTACTGGGGCTTAAGAAAAAAAAGATTTTTTTTCTCCCTCTGCAAGCTTCAGGCCTTTGTATGGTTGAAATGCATTTAGTTCCCCATGGTTGTGGTAGAGGCTTGGAATGGGCCCCAAGACAGGGTTGGGGTTGTAGCTCAGTGGTACAGTACTTGCCAGGCATGCAAAAAAAAAAAAAAAAAAAACAAAAAAAAAACAAACAAACAAACAAAAAAAACCACCTTCATATTTTTAGCCTTGGTGTTATAAAACTGCCATGTTGAGATGTCTGTGTATGTACTTCAGATACTGCTGTGTGGGGACCCAGAGGTTACTTGCAGCCCACAGACCTTAGTGAATTCTGTTAACATTGCTTGCTTGTCTTCCTCAGTTCTGGAAGGGACCAGTGCCCCAGTCACCCAGGTGTCCTCTGACTTTGCTATGCTGAACTGCTGGAGAAATAGGTCTTGGGTCCACTTTCTGCCCCTTAGCATCTGCCTGTCTCTGCTACTTGGCCTATTTCAGGGTCCTCTTTACTGAGCATGCCTTGAACCAGACCCTGTTCGGTTGCCTCGGCTGTCAGGAGACAAAGCTACACCTCCTGTCTTCAGCAGCTGAAAGAAGGGTACATCACTGTGCTGAGGAGCTCTAGTGTTAGGTTCAGTATTTAGAAGAGGAGAGGCCCTTTTAAAGCCCTTTAACTTAGATTGCTTTTTTACATTTATTTATTTTGTGGGAAAATTCAGTCTTTAGTGTGAGATCTAAGTTCCTGGGTAGGGAGGTATTGGCGGATGCTATATGAGAGATGCTAAAGGGAGAGTCCTGGGCTCTCTATCTGGCATCTGATAGTTGTGCATCTCCTTCCTGTGTGGTGCAGGAGGAGGACTGCCTGCCCACTGGTGAGCACAGCCCAGTCTGCTTGGTTGATTTCGACATAGGAGCAAGGCCTATATTTCCGTGTGTAAGTCTCGATGCAGATATCTGAGTAAAACATGGAAAGAAATACAAAGTAGGGCTGTTTTAAAGTCTAGTGTTGGTATACTGAGAGACACCTTTATGATTACCTGTGGATAATGTTGTTGACTAAACTAGAATGTTGTATCTTTTACCTACTTTTTTGTCTTTTAAATTACTGTGCAATGTTGTTGTGGGAAGCTGTTATTATTTTGACACACGGTTTCTCTGTAGCTTTGGAACCTGTCCTGGAACTTGCTCTGTAGACCAGGCTGGCCTTGAACTCACAGAGATTTGCCTCCCTGAGTGCTGGGATTAAAGGTGTGCACCACCAAAGCCTAATTGGACAGCTGGGTTTTTCTTTTTTTTTTTTTTTTCCCCCCAGTGACTTAGTGTTTATAATGGAAAGCTATACTTCATATATAATGTACCTTGATCATATTTTCCACCATTAATTTGTTCTTTGCTCCCTGGACAATCCCACTTCAACTTTTACGTCATCAGTGTCTATCTGAGATTTTTGTGTACCTAAATGATAGGACCCGCAAACGAGAGAAAACTTGATATTTGTCTTTCCTTTGCCTGACTTAATCCCCTTAGTAGAGTTATCTGTAGTTGCTCCATTTTCCTACAAACGACATGACTTCTTCTTGGTTTGCTTTTGGTTTATTTGAGACAGGGTTCTCTGTGTAGCTCTGATTGCCCTGGAACTCGCTCTGTAAACCAGGCTGGCCTCAAACTCCCACCGCCCAGCTGTCCTTAGTTTTTAAAGGAATGCCCATACTGATTTTTATAGTGGCTGGAGTAGTTTACATTCCCATCAGAAGTGTATAAAAGATTCCCTTTTGTCTAACCCTTCAGCGTTTATTGTCTGTGTCTCTCTTCCTCGTTTCTATTTCCCACACGTGAGTTTTTACCTGCATGTGCCTCTTTTTGCCCCACATGTGTGCGTTGCTTGAGGCCAGATGGGACCGTTCTGACTGAGGTGAAGTAGAATCTCTGTAGTTTTGTTTGATTGGTTGGTTGGCTGGTTTTGTTTTTGTTTTTTTGAGACAGGGTTTCTCTGCTTGGCCCTGGCTGTACTGTAGACCAGGCTGGCTGAAGACAGAGTTTCTGTCCTGCTGAGC